CGGAGATCATTTATATCGAATGGACTACTTGGACTACGTTCAAGTAAGGCGGAACAGTTAGTTTTGTTTCAACTGAAAACATTCAAAAGGTCAATTCTCAAATACGTCAAACTTTACCTCTCAATTAAACTGCAGAATCACAGGCAGAGCGGTGCAGATATTACCATTTCTTGTGTACCAATGGATGACAGGTATCGCTTGCTCAACACAATTCTTTTCAACTCCAGTTTCTGTTATAGCAATTGATCATCAACCTTTTGAGACTTTCCTCTCTTTCACTGATAGCCGAGCCTCAGATTTCGGTCTGATGAAGATAGACAAGAAGGGAAGGGTCCTATCATTCAGGGAAAAGCCTAAGGGAGACGACCTGAAGGCAATGGTAATACTCATGCGTAAGCTACAATAATCTGAATTGACATTTGGAATATGAATACCTGTATGCTGGATTTGGTACAAACATCAATCTGCAGGCAATAGATACGACCGTTTTGGGACTTTCGGTGGAGGAAGCTCTGAAGAAACCATACATTGCTTCCATGGGAGTGTATGTCTTCAAGAAGGAGATACTTCTGAATATCTTAAGGTGCCAGTCGCATGATGAATTAAAATTTATAAATCACAAACGCACAAACAAGTACACTGTGTAAAAGAAATTTGAGAAAACTACACTAACTATTTGAGTCAGATGGCGTTTTCCAACTGCAAATGACTTTGGATCAGAGATAATCCCTGCCTCAGCTAAAGAATTCTTCGTAAAGGTCGATATCAAATCTCTGTCTGGGAGTATTATATGTTAACTTGAACTCAATTACCTTTGCTTATCACTTAGTATTTTGGCTCTGCCTGGAGGGTTCATTGTAAAAACGCTGTGCAGGCTTATCTCTTCAATGATTACTGGGAAGACATTGGAACCATCCGATCCTTCTTCGAGGCCAACCTTGCCCTCACTGAGCATGTAAGCAAAGCTGATCCTCCGAATGGTGGTTGTTTCTATGGTAGCAGAAGCAGCTTCTGCTGTAACAGATAGAATCTGACGCACCCTTCTTTTCCATACCTTTCAGCCAAATAAGTTTAGCTTCTACAATGCAGCAAAGCCAATGTATACTTCAAGAAGAAACTTGCCTCCATCGAAGATCGACAACAGCAAGGTTGTCAGCTCTGTCTTTGATATGCACTTGAAGCTCCCAGCAAAATTAGTGAAACGCCAACATATATAAAACATTAATCTGCCTCCTTTTTGTGCAGATTGTTGACTCCATCATATCGCATGGAAGTTTCTTAACTGACAGCTTCATAGAGCACAGCGTTGTCGGTATCAGATCGCGAATAAACTCGAACGTTCACTTAAAGGTTAGTCCCATAAAATTCCACAGAATGTTAATCTCAATCTGTTAAAATTCCACGCGAAAGAATTGTCAAAATGCACGCAGGATACAGTAATGCTCGGTGCTGATTACTACGAAACCGATTCTGAGAGAGTGACACTGTTAGCTGAAGGAAGAGTTCCCGTCGGAATTGGAGAGAATACGAAAATCAAGTACAACCTGCTTAAACCTCCCTATCTTTTATGAATTTTACAGTTTTCAACAAAATTATTTGCTTATCATGGCTCTTGATGTCATGTGCAGAGACTGCATCATCGACAAGAACGCGAGGATCGGGAAGAACGTTGTTATTGCAAACTCAGAGGTACGACGTGCCCTCTGTCTCTGTGAATAGTAACCTCTAACAATTAACGGCTGTAAATCGTCCACGCGCGTTAGTCTAATTGTTCTCAACGTTTATGCATGGATTTGCAGGGCGTGCAGGAAGCTGACAGATCGTCGGAAGGGTTCTACATCCGCTCTGGTATAACCATCGTATTGAAAAATTCGACCATCGTCGACGGACTTGTGATCTAAAACACCCCTCCATCCTTCTAGTTTTTGGGTATACCAGGATGGAAGTAAAAGAGAAAATGCAATAGGAATCACCATATATACTCATGTCAGTAGAGCAAGACACTCTCATGATCCGGATGTGTACAAACCTTTGTTATTTTGCAAACATCAAGTAGCTATAAGCAACCATGCCATTTCATTTTCCCTAAAATAACCAAATCAAGTAACGACTACCTTGCAGACAAATTCTGTGAATCCATTTCTGAGAACGATTTATGATTCACTCGAATTTTATACATGTACAGCAAACGACATGCAATTAGCCACATCGTTGTTTTAGAGGACAATCTTGTCCATCAAAAAGTTAAGACAATGTGTATTGAAAATCGAGGGTGCAAAGATTTATATACTCATGAAACCTGAAGGTTTAGAGAAAGGAGTGATCGAGCATCTGCATATGCGCTTATGCTATGAAGCATTTGTGATTGCTTTGTGGTTAATCTACCGAAATTGTTCTATGAGGTAGCGTTTGGTACGCAGACGGACGGAATGGAACCAAAAGATTAAAATGACTAAAATACCCATGTTCCGGTGTTGTTTGGTACAATTTTATGGGCGGAACGGGACATGACTCTTTTTTTTTTTTTTTTTTTTTTTTTTTTTAAGTTGTTCAAATTTGAACACTATTATCCATTATTTGTTTTTCTTGGTCCAAATTTTAATAGGTATATGTTGTGTTTCACATGCAAACCCCTTTAAAATTTGTAATTTTTCCCGTTTTCTACACCTCCATTCGAATTTTCACCACAAACCCATCAAATTTTATTGTGCAAATTGCAAAACCCACACCCCAATTCAATTTTTAGTCCCTAATTTTGGTCCTTTCAATTGTGGGTTGTTGTTGTTAAGGATGGATTTATAAGATGTTACAATCCTATCACTAAGGAAATAAATAAAATAAATAATTTACAAAGCCAATTAGCAATGACGAGATCAAGGATGATTTGTTCCCAATAGGGTGTTTAAAGGCTCTAGGCCTTGACGGTTTTGAAAGAGATTTTTCCCATTCCTTTTTGGATATTATCTCGGAAGAGATCAATGGCCTAGTTCAGGATTTCTCGAGTGGGGGAACAAGCCCCAAGCACCTTAATAGGTTCTACAAACATTAGAATTGGCCTTGTTTAGAAGGACACCCCTCTAAATATTCCTCATTGTAGGAACAAGGCAAACCACATAAGAGCACATGACAAATGTTGAAAAATATATAAGTTTAATGATCATGCATTTCGTAAACATTTTAGGGTTTAAACATTTAGAACTTAAACAAAGAAAATGAAATATGCATAACTTAAACATGAAATATCCGAAATCAAACATTTGTCCTGACTTAAAAAACAAATAATGTCTTGCTAAAGTAATAATGAAAACACTTAGAAGTTGATAAAGTTCCCCATACTAAAACCACAAATACTAAAACCTCAAAGGCTCTCCATAAACACTTTAATGAAATCTGGCTTCTGTGAGTCATCCAAGGTGCTCCAAATACCCATCAGATCGGTATCTTTCACTAACTTCATTGAAATTCTTAACACCTGATCGTATGGGAGACCCATGGCCTGAAGCTCAGAAGGTAGTCTAGCTTTTGCTTCTCTAAAAGTAAAACTTTCACCTAATTTCTTCATTTCAGTAACAGCTTTATTCCAACCTTCACTGATAACAGATACAATATTTGCATCACCATCATTCCTGCTCCTCTTCCTCTTCCTAACAGGTTGAGAAGCACTAGATGTAGCAACAGAAGGAGATGGGGTAGGTGAAAGCGGAGGTATCTCAGAAGTCTCACAATCCTCACTTTCCAAACCCATATTTTCAATTGCATCTGCCGCTGATTCAGCAATGCTACCCGTGGCTCGGTCTCTCCCAAACACCGTACATAGACGTGGATACAACGGGAATGGCTTATTTGGTTTGCAAGATGCATTGGGATGTTTCTACAATAAGAACCCAAAGAAATCAAGGTTAAGACTTTCAAAACAACTAATTGATAAAGAATAAGAAAAAAAAAAATTTACCTTCACCCATTCCTGTAGTATTTCGTCACTATCCACAACAACACATTTTTTCTCATCATCCCAACCAAATCCAGATGTATTCATCATGTCATATGCAGACGAATACTTTTCTTTCAGACGCTTCAATTTGTTTTGTATATGCTTCAGCTCTATATTAATGCCAGGAATTTGTTCCCTCATCTTGGAGGCAACCGTTACAAAAGTACCAGCCTTAAAATTGCCGGTCTCACACCTAACACCATCAGCAACCATCTCCTCGAGGATGGTAAGTAGTACATCCTCCTCATGATCAATCCAATTACGTGAGGTGGCCATATAATCTATCAAATAAGCCATATATTACACAAGTAACACAAATAAATTTATATTAGTTGTACTAATCAATTACCAAATCAAATAAGCCAAATCAAATGACAATGACTAGTGGATTGAAATATTAAAGAGGGACAAATAAATGGGTGATCTAAGCATGAAATTGCAGGGTTGCTGATGCTATATATACCAGTGGTGATGGTGAACTTAATGAACAGATCGTATTTTGGCAATGCTAACTTGGTATTTGTAGGGTTTACAGTGATGGTGAGATGTGGTTTGCCAGCTAGTAGATTGTGTTTTACTGGTAAGTGGATTGACAGTGGTTTCATATTGCATTGAGATTGTATCTTAAGTCTAACTTGTTCTTGCAGTTTCTTTCTCACAGAGGATGAAATAGATCCTCTATATTTTGTTTTATACTGAACTTTCGACTAGCACGTGATGCTGATCTCTAATAGCAGATTGAATTCATATATTTATGACTTGTTTTTACTTGATGTATGTGTTGTTTCCCTTTAAAATTTATATTTTGTAGCCTTTCATGGTTAATAGTTTAATTTCCTTCAATATCAAGTAATCCAACAACAAAACTATCCATTACAATGTCGTAGATTCCTAATGCACTTGAAACAATAGACAACCTAATTTTAAAATAAGCCAAATCAATAGTTTAATTACCAAATCAAATAAGCCAAATCAAATGACAATGACTACACCCTAATTTTAAAATTTATTAAAATTTAGTAACACAAATAAACATATCAAATAAGCCATAACATCTAGATAACTCCCAATTACCATATTACAATAACAAACATCTCAATGGTCTTGATGTTACGAATTTTCAAGCCAATTACAACAACTAAATTGAGTCCCCATCTAAAAGACAATTACAACAACTACCATGTTAACCAATTTTCAAGCCCTTCTTCCTCTCCACTCATCATATATTTCTCTTGCAAGATCATCCCTCCATTGAGTCCATATTTGGCTTGACTCAACGGTTTCAATGTAGGCTAATACTTCTGGTAAATCTTCCCCTATAGGTAATTCATCAAATGCAAGCCTTGCATTTTCTTCAGGATCAACTGCCATATACATTCTGATAAAATTATGAAGTAAACTACATGCGGTGATCATTCGTCCCTGAATCTTGATTGGATAGTGGGAAGGACTTCGTAAGATAGCCCAACGTCGTTTGAGGAGGCCAAAACATCTCTCAATGACATTCCTAGCACGTGAGTGTTTCATATTAAAATATTCTTCATGATTCCTAGGTGCCCGTGAATTGTTTTCCCACTCTTGCAAATGGTATCTAGTGCCTCTATACGGTGCCAGAAAACCCTCACCATTCGTATATCCGGAATCAACCAAATAATATGAACCTATATTAGTTGATAATAAATTTTAGTTGTTGGCCAACAAAGGTAAGGAAAAATACTAGGTGCTTGTTTATATTACCAGTTGGGACCTTGAGGCCATTAGCTCTAGTAACAGCGTCACCAAGAACTCTCGAATCAATAGCTGATCCCTCCCAACCGGATAACACATATACGAATTTGAGGTCGTGTGTGCATACGCCTAACACATTAGTTGCTATATGACCCTTCCTTGTTCTATATCTTGGTCTATCGGCATCAGGCACAGTGACCCCTATGTATGTTCCATCGAGCGCTCCTAAGCAACCCTAGACAAAAGAAAAACTTATATTAATTAGCAATTACAAATAATTATGTTATTAATGATTTTACCATGATTATTACCTTAAAGCATTTCCATCTCGATTCCGTGCAATCCTCTGGGATAGGGGTTGGTTTTGCAAACAACACATCTTGCAAACTGAGTAATGCATGCAATACTCTACGGACATATCGACTAATAGTTTCACCAGACCTAAAAAATCTAACTTGCATTGACCTATTTTTATTGTGGTGGGCTAATATGTTAACAAAAGTAGCTACTTGCTCCTCTATTGTAACATGACCATCATCTACCAATCCACCACGAGTTTGTAGTAAATCACATAAAACTGCAAATGCATTCCTATCCATTCGTAGCTCCCACAAACAGTTAGTATCACTCAATCGCGTGATACGATTTATTTCCTCTCTCCTAACATGAAGTCTAACAAATGTCCTCTGCTCTAAACTAGCTATTTCCCGTTGTCTCCTTTGTTGTTGTCTATACCTCAACAATTGTGCATTCATAGTAAAGACTTGTGCCATTATAATCCAAACGTTCAAAAGAACAAAGAATTGAGTCTCATATTCATCCATACCTTCACATGCAAAAAAACAACACATGAATGAGTGGAGTATCAACATACGCTAAATTCATTTTAGATACTTGGACTTGGTAATAATGATAATATAATGTATAATATTCGTTCGATGGTAGTGACGAATTGTCCACAAGAGGCTATCTCAGTAGCCGAATGCAAAAAGAAGGTGCCACCTTTTTTCATTGTTGCATTTCTATATTGTCTGTCACATAACAACTTTGTATATCCAAGTTAACAATAAGAGGATGTCGAATTCATAAAATAGACTGCAAATTACTTTGCTTATAATAATACTTTGGTTTAGTACACTATATATGTATATATGGGAGAAATTGCTTAGAAGGTAACCAGTCTATCATATTATTGCCTAGAATAAGGATACTTAGCTGTTCTAATTTTATCACGACTACCTCAAATCTTATGAAGCAAGCATAACCATCACAGCAAGTCAAATGAAAAAAAGCAGCTGTGGATTTAAATAAAATTGCTAGCACAAAAATCAGCAAGAAAACATGCATTACCAATTAACAGCCCAAACATGCACAAAAAAGGTCCCAAATCACCAAAACAAAACAAAAAAAAAAGTAAAATTTAGCTGCAAATAAAACAAATAATACATTTATATACCTTTAGCACAGAGAGTTCCAAGAATCAGAATCGAAAATCCAAAAATCTGAAAGGGACGGTTTCCTGAATCTGGAAAACAAAATGCATCAGACACGCACAATAACGATCCAACAAAAAAAAAAGATCCAAACCATATAAGCTGATAAACATGCAAAACTCACAGATAAATAACGATCTTGGGCTGATTTAGAATCACGATTCGTAATATTAGTCTTCAGACCTGTAAGCGACCAACAATCTGTCAGAGCAATACCATTTTGTTTTTCCAATAATCCACATGAGATCAAACCCAAACATGTCAAAAAAGTTTGTGCCTTTCAACACAGTCAACACATGGATTAGTCCATTGACATTTAGAATGAACCATTGTTCTTTACCACATGGCTGCAATTTTTATATACAAACAATAGTCTTCTAACATAAATTTTCAAGATTGTCTGCGCGTTCACCAAAAACACAAAGGCTTCCAAAATTCCAACAACCCTTTTAATTTCTTCTCAAAAATTCAAAATCCATTTTAATCCAAACTGCACTCACACAGTTTATAGCACCAAGAACTGCACTCACACAGTTTAATCAAAATCCATTTTAATCCAAAATGCACTCACACAGTTTATATCACCAAGAACTGCACTCACACAGTTTAATCAAAATCCATTTTAATCCAAACTGCACTCACACAGTTTATATCCAAACTGCAAAACTATAAAAAACCACATGCAAATAATTTTAAAACAACTGCACTCACACAGTTTATATCACCAAGAACATATATAAAAAAAAAAAAATTAAAATCACAATCTAAACTAATGTTTCCTTTCCTCCTGTCCGTGTTTGTAACCCCCTGTAGTGTAAATCACAAAAAAATTTCTCTCTTGTTTCTTGCCACAACCGAACTCAGCCCTCTTTCTTTTTAAATCGAATCATGAGCACTCATCACATCTTTTCCAAAAGCAACAAACACCTTTCCCTTTTTTCTTACAACCATCATCATTCTGTCTCTACTCATAATGATGTCCACCAAACTTTCCTTTTGTTTATTTTATGCACCGAAAGTTTTCTTGGACATTTGGGGCCAATTATTCAACAATAAACCACAAGTATTCTCATTAATAAATTTTTGAGAGAAAATGTCCAGCATGCAGCAACCATTCAATGCAGGCCAATCCCAAGGCCAAGGCCAGGTATGAGATTGATGTTTTCAATTCAAGCAGGGTGCTATTATTTCCACTCACCTGTCATATTCTCTCACCCGTTGACTATTGAAAATGTTCATGACAAATGGATATAAAGTGAGTGTGGAAATAAGACAAGTGCATGGGTGCAAGAGCACCTTTAAGCTGCAGAACGTAATTTATTAGATGATCATCGTACTCATGCTGTATATGTGATACAATGCCATATGTTTTATGTTGTTGGTGCAGGCTAAGGCAGAAGAGTGGATGCAGTCCACATAGGAAACAGCACATGAAGCTAGGAACGCAACAGCTGATGCAGCTCAGTCAGCCAACAAACTATACAACGCAAAATAGTTCACTTGGAGGGTTTGGTTTAGACTAATGAAGTAAGTCATTAGACTAATGAAGTAAAGCATGCCCTATAAAATACAAAAATCCATCACCCCTCTCACATTATCATTCTAACATATATCTTTTTTTTTCTTTTCACTTTTCGAACATTTTTCACTTGAGCACAGTTTTCTAAAATTCTTAATGCTGATGTTAAGCACATGCAAGGCTCTATAACAGAGCAGTGTTGATTTAACAGCCACCATGGAGATCAATGTCTCAAGGTGCCAGAAATTCAAAAGAAGCCAGCCTCATGTCTTATGTTTATCTTGTGTATGTAAATGTGCACCCTACACATGCTAGACACACAAAACCACCAGAGGAATCTAAAAAAACGCACCCTACACATGCTAGACACATCCAATACCAAAAGCACCAGAGGAATCTAAAAAAACGCTACTTCCTAGTTCATTCAATAGGAAGAGAGTAATCTTACTAAACAGGCTGCACAAAGCAGCCTCTGTATTTTTCCAATATAAACAGGCTGCACTCTGCCATCTCACTTTTGGTAATTATATGTTCAAACACTACTATAAACATCATGCTTGAAAATAAGTCTTGCATAACCGACATCAACCTTTTAATGCTTATAACCGACATCAACTTGAACAGCTAAATCCTGAAATCCACTAAGACCTAAAGGCATTAACAAAACCAGCTCACTCACTTCAAATCAATATCCATACAAATATGATAAAGTCAACAAAACCCAAATTGCTTACCTTTCCTATGAGATAGAAAGGAGAAAGATTTATCTTTCAAGCGAACACCCACAGGAACAACAACCTTGTTGCCCAGAAAGCAAGAAAAGCACCTCAAAGGAGAAAACCTAAATCAGATCAAAGTACCAAAACCCTGATGCCCAAAGATCCCCTTTTTTTTTTTCCCATTTCACAAAATACAAATTATAGATTGATATGTATTTACTCAAGAAACAAAATCAGAACCATACAACTCAACAATCAAGAACACAAAGGCATCCAAGAAACACCAAATTGACCAAACTGACCGTCCAGAAAGACAGATTGAAAGCGGAAACAGAAACCAAAGAAAAAAATGTACCAGACCCAGATGAGAAATCGCCAAAAAAAACTAGTATTTTGCTGCACTCTAGTTGATACAAAATATCAAACACAAACAGAGAACAAATACATAAACAGAGAACAAATAAAAAAAATTTGAACAATCGAAGAAAGAGAGACCGAGAGCTACACGAAAACAGATCGAACCTGGAACCGAGATGCAGAGCTGAAGATGCTACGGAAGAGGATGAGGAGGAAGGTTCGCAGAGCTGCTACACGGAAGATGCAGAGGTGAAGAGGCTACAAGGAAGAAGATGAGGAGGAAAGGGAAGATGCAGAGGGAGGAACACGACGGCTGAGAAGAAGAGGGATAGTTTTTAGGGTTTGTTATATGATTTTTGATGTAAATTTTGAAAAAGACAAGGGGCATTTTTGTCTTAAAATTTTGGAACTTTCTGTCCCACAGACATGGAATAACCCGTTCCAGGGTGGGGGTGTGGAACAAAAAATCATCCAAAATCTGTTCCATGGAACAGCCCGTTCCACTCATTTTAGGCGCACCAAACGCGGGACGGAACGCCTCGTCCCACTCTGTTCCGTCCCGTCCCGCGTACCAAACGCTACCTGAGGAAAGGGATACATAATCTACTCCCTAGAGCTACAGATTGAGACTTCCACTGACTCTATACAATTAGCTCTTCACAGTTCATCATCAACTCGTTTTCATATTTTTGCAAAGCAAACCGCTCCTCGGACATTATAATGTTGGTAACAGAGCATTTCTTGTCTGAAAACGGTTTCCTACCTGTTCTTCCAGCTCGATGAAGATGATCAACGACAGTTCTTGGCAGATCGAAGTTGTATATATGAGTAGTGTCTGGCAGGTCAACCCTTCTGGCTGCTATATCCGTTGATACAAGGAGATAACTTCCACCTTGTCTGACTTCCTAAAAGTAAGTAAATAGAATATAGATACATCAGAAGATATCAACTCGAAAATGGCATACCAAAGACCAAGCATATTTTGTCGTAGAATTGGAAAATTTGGACGTTTTCAAGAGGTACTTCGGAATATTGAAAACAGAAAATTCATTCCTGCTGAGCATTTCCGTTAGAACTAACTAGCCGATGAGCACACACTGTGTGTGTGAACAATTTCATTTTGTTTTTTTTTTATTAAGGAGTGTGATTAGTTTTTAAAATTTTAAAAAGAGTGAAAAAATGATGGTGGGACAATTTCTATTAATAAGTGCATATTTTATCTTAATATTACATAATTATTGTTTTGTCGTCCTTGTGTAAATATTATGTATCAAAAGTAGGAAAAATAGGGATATGATTGTCATTTTTTCAAAAGATACAAAATTACTATTTTGCCCTCATTATGTAAGTTATGTAAGTATTGTGTATCAAAAGTAAGGGCAAAATAGGAAAAAATTGGGCAAAAAGTTGACAAGGAGGGTTCTCTTCATAATAGTATAGATATTACTTTCGAGGAAGTGAACATGATTTACTAAGTCAAACCAGAAGGGAAAAACATATAACTTACAGATAGAGAAGCAGCTCGTTAATTGAAATTCATGTCTTCTTCCAAAAGGAGGATGTCTGAATATCCCTCATACGAAGCCTTCAAGAAATTAATTAATAGTGTTGTTGATGGAGCATTTCCAGCCTTCTATGACTAACCAAATAGATAAGAAATATATAGTAGGTCATCTCCAACCGAAAGAAATATGTTTAGCCCCAGTCCAGATTATAGCCCTACAAGAAATTTTTTTTTTTTTTTAATGAACAGTGTCAGGCCCCTCAATAATGTATTATTTTAAGTTTGTTCTTTAATTTATTGGTTAATTGAATTAAATTACCATATTAAAATGAGGTTTCTGGATATATTTTGAGTGCCACTTGTCCATAAATGAATAAGCCTCTAAATTTCTTATCTTTATATAATCTCAATAATTTATCGGATATGATTTCGAATAACACGTGTCGCTAAAGTGAGTAACTCTTCATATTTCTTATCTTTATGTAATCTTAATAATTTTTCAGATAGGATTTCGACTACCACGTGTCGAGATGTAATTGGTTATGCAAATTTTAGGTATGATTCTTATCTACGTAACGCTTCTCATCTTCAGTTTCTAATGTTAATAAATTGGCTAGATATTGGGGTAGAATTCGTACCTTCATCTTTACCCTCTCCAATATCTCTTGTTTGACTAAAATTTGTTATTTCAATTCAAGTTTGCAACAAATTCCAATTGGGGGTCCTCATCCAATTCTGAATTGAAAGATAAATGGACGAAGCGAAGGTGAGAAGATGAAGAGTCCAATGAAGAAGACAAAGCATGGCACAATTCAACATTTATGGCAGCTCTGGCTGGGGCCATGGCGTGTGAGGAAACTCAAGAACAATCTCAATTGGGTGGCTCTGTTGTTGGTTGCTCTTAAAAGCCACGAAAAAGAGAGATCCATATAAGACTCTTATGAACAACTACTTCAACTCTAACATGGTGTACCCAGAAGAGGATTTCAGACGTCGCTTCCGAATGAGGTGTCATGTCTTCGAGTGTTTGTTTCATGATGTCCAACATGTCAATCCATACTTTTGGCAGAAGATTGATAGAGCAAGCTGCTCTGGTTTCTCACCTCACAAAAAGGTTACTGTTGCACTTCGAATATTGACCTATGCCTCTCCAGCTGATGCGATGGATGATACATATGGTATGTCTGAGTCTATATGCCTTGATAATCTTGCTCAATTTTGTCACATAATTTGTCCAAATTTAAAAAGATAAGTACCTTTGTGAACCAAATCAAGCAGATCTTGCTTCGCTCCTTTTTAAAGCTGAAAAATGTGACTTTCCGGACATGATAGGGTCATTAGATTGCATGCAGTAGTAGTGGAAGAACTGTCATATCGGATGGCAATGAGGATTTAGCGGAAGATCGAGAAAGCTAACTATTATGTTAGAGGCAGTTACCTCGTTTGACATATGAATCTAGCATGATTTCTTTGGAGTCCCAGGATCCCAAACATTACAGTACTCAGGCGTTAACCCATCTTTAATAACCTAACGGAGGGTAAATCATCTCAACGGGCGTCAGTACAATATAGAGTATTACCTAGCACATGACATCTACCCAAAGTGGGCGACACTTGTCCAAGCAATTGCAAACCTTGTGGATGACGCCTAAAGGTGGTTTACCTTACACCAAGAGGCATACTAGAAAGATGTTGGGAGAGTTTTCGGTATTCTACAAGCATGGTAAAAAAATCATTAAGAAACTGGCAAGAGGGTGGAGTCAAGATAAATTGAACTCCATAATGATGTTGTGCATCATTTTATACAACATGGTTGTGAAGGATGAGCGAGATGACTATATTAATGGAGAGTCTGATAACGACCAAGATGATCCAAATAGGTCAAGGAGGGCTCATGCGATAATATATGATGGGCCTAATTTGCCTCTGGATGCAAGAACTAGTAACATATCTTTAAATGAATACATGAGGCATTATAGGATGATACGTTCGTGTACCACAAACAAGTACCTACAACAGGATCTTGTTGCACATCTTTGGATTAAAAAAAAAAAAAAAAAACCAATGGTGTAGGCATAATAAACCAAACGTTGTTTAAGTTTTAATAACTCCCCCAAGTATTCTGCCACAAAATTTCTTTCCCTTCTCTTTCTCTCATCTCCCTCTCTCTCGTACATATTCTACTTCTCTCAGTCATCAGGTAGTCAGGTGCTCTCTCTCTATCTCTACTTGCAGATTCCCATGGTAAAGTTTTATTCTTTATTTTTCAATATTTCCATTGAAAATAATTAACTTTACTCTTGCTGCTCGTTCTCGTTGGCTGATATATAATTTTGTGACGTCTACCTCTAGATAACCAGAACCTGAAACGCAAATCCAAAGCCATTTAATTCCCATAATTCGCAATCTCACATAGTTTTCGGGTAAGTCTGCACTGCACTGCATCCTCGCTCTTATTTTGCTTCTGTGTCTGTTTTTAAAATAATTATTAGTATGAATTTGTGAGCATATTGATAAAGTTTGTTTGTTTAGGTGTTTTGGTTGAACTTGACAGAGAATGGAGAGGACTTTTGGAGTGTGTTTTACGGCTTCAAGGCTGTGCAAAATGCATCATCATTGATTTCATTAAGTAGATGAATGTTTGTTGGGTATGGTTCATTGCCGTAACCCATACTTGTTTAAAGAGTGATTGACAAGAGGCTTAACAACCATTTCAGCCTTACTACTCTAGATTGAATCCTAGCCCTTCATTTGGGTTTTAAGTGATCTAATCTGGAGTGTACACTTGTCACTCACACACTCACACATACATTTAAACAAAAAACTAGCCATTTGAGGCTTTAACCCTTCATTTCTTCTTTCTCCTTCGATGCAGACAACATCCATGCTCGGGAGCTTATTGTTGCCTTCGATCCCTCGACTCCAGGAGCTGTTTAGCTTCCAACACTCCCTTCTAAACTGCTTCTGGGAGTCATTCCAAGCAATCCATTTAGGTAATTGAATCTCTCATTCGATAATGCTTTTGTGAAAATGTCTGCGATCTAATTTTCTGTGCTGCAATAGATTAGCTTGATTGTGTTGTCCTGCAATGCCTCTTTGATGAAATGATATCTTCTTTTGATGTGCTTTGTTCTCTGATGAAATACTGGGTTTTTTGTCATGGCGATTGCAGAGGTGTTGTCACACAGAAGCAGTGTGGCATCAACTTGCAATTCCTCAAAGTCTTTAAGTATGAACCTTAGCCAAATAGCTTGAGTTGTAGCTTTTGATGCACTCACATAATTTGCCTCACCTGTGGACAGTGCAACACTTTGTTGCTTTACAGAGGCCCACGAGAAAACCCCTAAACCAAAAGTGAAAGCATAGCCCAATGTGCTTTTGCTATCATCTTCACTGCCACCCCAGTCACTGTCACAAAATCCAGTTAGGATAGTTGACGTCCCCATTTCATACTTGATCCCATAATCAAGTGTTCCTTGCATATATCTTAGAACTCTCTTTGCTGTCCCCATGTGTATCTTGCTAGGATTCTGCATAAACCTAGAAAGTAGGCTTGTTGAGAACATTAGATCTGGCCTTGTTGCAGTTAGGTACGATAGACTACCAATAATGCTTTTGTAGAGACTAACATCTACAGGTTCACTTCCATTATCTTTCTTAAGCTTCTTATTTGCAATTAGGGTGTAGAGACAGGTTTGCATCCCAAACTTTTCAAGCAAAGTTTTAGCATACTTCCTTTGATGAATAAATATGTTATTTGCTTCTTGAATTATCCCAATGCCAAGAAAATGATGCAAGATGCCTAGATCAGTCATCTCATACCTCTTCATCATCTCTTCTTTGAACTTTTCAATCATTGCATCATCATTTCCAGTGTAAACAACATCATCCACATAGATTAAGACAAATAATGTCTTGTTGTTGCTTCATGTCTTGGTGTAGAGTGTAGCTTCACTAAAACTTTTCTAAAATCGTTTCTTAGTGAAATAGGAATCAATCTCACTGTACCAAGCTCTTGGAGCTTGCTTTAGGCCATAGAGTGCCTTCCTTAGCTTGTACACCTTCTCTGGAAACTCTTAACTTGTGAGCCCTTGAGGTTGTTCGACAAACACCTCTTCTTCTAGCACTCCATTTAGAAATTTAGATTTGACATCCAATTGATGCAACTTCCAACCCTTCTTAGCTGTTAGGGCAATCAAGGTCCTTATAGTGTCTAACCTTGCTACTGGAGCAAATGTTTCATTGAAGTCTACACCAGGCTTCTGTGAGTAGCCTTTAGCTACCAATTTGGCCTTGTTATTTTGCATAGAACCATCTAGGTTGAGCTTCACTTTGTACACTCATTTCACACCAATCACAGTCTTCTCACTTTGTCGATTTAGAAGTTCCTAAGTGTCATTTTTCTCAATCATTTCAAGTTCTTCCTTCATCAAGTTCTTCCTTCATTGCTTTCTTCCAAGCTTTGTCTTTCTTAGCTTCTTCATATGATTCTGGTTCCACTACACAGTAGTTACATGTAGCATAAATCTCATCCAAGCTTCTCAACCTCACTGGAGTTGAACTTAGAGTTGTTATTTGTGATTAACTTGGTTGCGGACTCATGCTTGCTTGTTGTGGAGTCCCTTGTATGTCACCATTCTCTGTGACTTTTTCTTGAGCTGAGGTCTTCATAGGCTCCCTTGTTTGCCTTTTGTTGATGTCAAGTTGTAGAGAGACACTGTCATTCTCTTCTACCCTTGTTTCCTAGTTCCATGTTGAGTCTTCATCAAAGATAACATCCCTTGATAGGATTATCTTTTGAGTTGACAAATTGTAAACTCTGTACCCTTTCTCGCTGGTTTCATAACCCATAAAAACACCCTTGTTGCTTGATTACTCCAACTTGTGCCTTAATTGTTGAGGAATGTGAGTATAGCACACTGAGCCAAACACCCTCAGATGCTTCACATAAGGCTTCCTTCCACTGAACACTTCAAATGGTGCCTTCTTATCCAATGTTTTAGTAGGGCACCTATTTAATAGGTACACTGAGGTGTTCAAGGCTTCACCCCAAAATATATAGGGCATGTTCTTCTCATGCATCATAGACTTAGCCATTTCAACTATAGTCCTATTCTTCATTTCTGCAATCTCATTATGTTATGGTGAATATGCCACAGTGAGTTACTTATCCAACCCCACATCTTCACATAATACATTGAACTCATGTGAGGTGTACTCACCTCCCCTATCACTTCTCAGTCTTTTGATTTGATATCCATTTTGCAATTCCACCATTGCCTTGAACTTCTTGAATATTGTGAATACCTCATACTTGAACCTCATGAAATACACCCAACACATCCGTGAGTAGTCATCAATGAAGGTTAGGAAATACCTGTTTCCACTGATTGTTGTTGTTTGCATTGGTCTACACATATTTGTGTGAATCAATTCGAGTGGCTTTATTGCCCTCCAAGCCTTTCCAGCTTCAAATGGATCTCTGTGATGCTTGCCAAACACACCCTTCACAAGTTTCATTGCATTGATCCATTCTTGGTATACTTTACACCATTTCATGCTTTTGCAGATTTTGTAAGCTTGTCATGTTTAAATGACCAAACCTCTTGTGTCATAGCTTCATAGAACCTGTCACGCTTGCTTTCCTTGCCACTTCCTCTAGGTACTTCAGCATAAGTGGAAAGCTTCTGTTTTTCACTTCCACTCTAGTCACTAGGTTTGATAGGGATCTGTCATCATAGATCTCGACCACAGTTCCCCCAAAGAGTAATAAATAGCCATGTTCCATCATTTGACGCACACTAAGTAGATTCTCATCAAATCCAGGCACTAGCATCACCTCCCTTATGCATCTTCTTTTTTTCTTGGTGTTAATGACCAGAGTTTATCTTCCAATGGCTTTGACAATGTTACCATCTCCTATTTTCACTTTTTTCTGTGAAGTTTGTGTCAATATCAATAAGTAATGACTCATGTGTAGTCATATGGTTGTTGCAGTCACTGTCAATGTACCACACTTTATTGTTTTTCTCTACTTTTGCACTGAAAGCACAAAACACATTTTCTTCTTCTTCCACTTGATTTGCACAGTTCACTTGCTGCACATTCTTTGATTTACAATCCTTCATGATGTGCCTGAACCTGTTACATCTGTGGCACCTAGGCTTGTCCTTGAACCAACACTCTCCAAGATGGAATTTGTCACACTGCTTGCATTGCCGCTTAATTCTTGGACCTTCATTTGAGTAGCTGCCTTGGTTAGGTCTAGGGTTTTGATACCCTTTTCCTTCCCATTTCTTGTTCTTGCCCTTCCACTGTGGTTTGTTTTTGCTTGCACTAGCTTGACTACTAGATCCAACATTGAGTGGTTGAAAAGCTTTCTCATGTGCAAAATCAACATGCCTCTCGAGCCTTTGGTCAAAAGCTCTTAAAGATGCCATCACATCTTGCACACTAAGAGTTTCAGTGTCTTTGGTTTCTTCAATGACACTCACTATTGAATCATAGGGTTTAGTCAAACTAATCAACAGTTTCTGGACAATTCTTTCATTAAGCAGTTCCTCACCATATGTTTTCATTTTGTTTACAGCATCAAATAGCCTAGTAAAGTAGTCTTTTAACAGCTCATTCTCCCTCATTCTTGTATACTCAAAATCTCTTCTAAGGGATTAAAGTTTTACCTTTCTGATTTTGGTGTCTCCTCTGTACTCTTGTTGTAAAACTTCCTAAGCTCCCTTTGTACTCTCTTCATTTGCTATCCTCGGGAAAATGGAGTCTGAGACAACACCTTGGATGATTCCAAGTGCTCTAGTAGTTCATACCCGTATCGAACCATATCCCATAGATCATATGACTTGAAAATGGTTGTCATTCTTATTCTCCAAAAGTCATAGTTCTCCCTATCAAAGATTGGAGCTTTTAGCTCACTGCTACTGCTGGATCCCTTTATTTGCAGGGTTGTTTGTTGTTGAGGACACTACACAAGTGCTCCCAAAGATCTCAACTTGCACAGATTACGCCCAGAAAGTTGTAAGATCAGAAACTAAGCTCTGATACCATGATAAAGTTTGTTTGTTTAGGTGTTTTGGTTGGACTTGATAGAGAATGGAGATGCCTTTTGGAGTGTGTTTTACGGCTTCAAGGCTGTGCAAAATGCATCAACACTGATTTCATTAAGTAGGTGAATGTTTGTAGGGTATGGTGCATTACCATAACCCATACTTGTTTAAAGAGTGAGTGACAAGAGGCTTAACAACCATTTCAGCCTTACTACTCTAGATTGAATCCTAGCCCTTCATTTGGGTTTTAAGTGATGTAATATGGAGTGTACACTTGTCACTCACACACTCACACATACATTATAAGAAAAACCTAGCCGTTGGAGGCTCTAACCCTTCATTTCTTCTTTCTTCTTCGATATAGACAACAGCCATGCTTGGGAGCTCCTTGCTGCCTTCGATCCCTCGATTCCAGGAGCTGTTTAGCTTCCAACACATATCTGGTGAGTTTCGATACACGAAACGCAATTGGTGGTTGATGTGAGGAGTTTCTTTTGTTAAATTCCTGCAGTGGCAGTGCCAAGTAATTGATTTTGTTGCTCACATTGCATTCAGAATTTCTTATCTTATTGTTTTCTTTGTTTCAATCTTTATATATTTACCGGATACCGCAGTTGCTCATTTAGCTTTGTGTCCTTACATATTGGTTTACGAAAGTTATTAGTTGAAGTTGTTGTATCATTGATGTTAGTTGGACTGAATTTCGTATCTCAAGTCTTCTATTGTTTCCAACTTTATACTTAATTGGAATTGGAACCACAGTTGCGATTGCTAAGCTTTGAAGAATCTTACAAATTGTTTTTGGACATTTCAGAGTAATAAACTAGTACTGTGAATAGAGACCAATGATGTCCGAAGTGATTAATTGCCTCTCACTTGAGGGTCAACTTGCAAAATTAGAATTAGTGGGATCAAAGGCATTTCAACTTCTTCAAGGGACATTAATCCCTACTACCAGGTGAGTTACGGAGAGGATTTCATTGACTTAACCAAGTAATGAGGTTAAAGATGGCTAATTTTGTTGTCTGGCTGAATAGGACTAGAGATAATTCTTGGAAATTTGATGAATGCATCTAATTAGACTAAAATATTTCAATTGAAGTAGTTTGTCATACTGATTAATATTTAAGATAAAGTTTATAAATATTTTTCTTTTGAAAATAAAGTATATTCAGTAATTCACCTTTATTTGTTAAGAAAATTAAATTAATGACACATCTAGTATTATACCATTTTTGGTCATTTCACACGGTCATAGTTGTTTTACATAAAAGTTTACCAAACACTATAATACTGTTTTTTTCTTTCCAAAAGCACTTTTACAAAAAAGTTTACCAAACACTTTGCTACTTTATTTCACAGCTGTTTATTCTCACAGCACAACAAAAACAGTTTTTTTCAAAGCACAGCAATACCAAACCAGACCTTTGCATGGTCACAGGCTTGGATGGCATCGGGATGGTTTGGTTGCAGAAGAATTGATCATGGGTTTGGAGGACATCTTTAGCTACGATTGATGAAGAAACTACAACAGTCGTTGTTTGTCCAAGTTGCAAAGGGATAATGCTACTCTTACTTGTACAAAAACGAGACACGTTTGTTGACAAAGAACAGTTCATTACTTGTACAAAAATGCTGTTTTTATTACAATTTTCATATCAAATTTGTACAATATATCCCATAAAGATAGAATCTACATGTATTGATAGACCTTATCTCTATTAGATATACAAATATGATAAAAAAAAAATGTAACAAGTGTTGCATCACTTGTAAAAATCGCTTTTGTAGACTAGGTTTTAAACTCCAGTTGGAGTTCTTGGGCTAGATTCGTGAATATGGTGCCTACTCCTATACAAGAAGGGCATTCGGGCACACTTACAGAAAGTTACAAAATATCAATGGGGAGTACTCACAAGCAAACGTGAAATTTTTATTTTTTTATATAAGCAAATATTCTACACTTAATATTTCTAAGTTATAGAGACCAGATTCGAACTCGGATGCAAATCATTTCTCAAACTAATTTGGCTAAATTTAGGTATAATCTACAAGCATGATTCTTATTTAGATTCTAAAAATTATATGGTACGGACTTGAAATAGATATCAAGCTGGGTTCTTCTATAACATGGGCACAGCTTTGAGAGGCTGAGCTTTTTGTAAGGTAAGGCCAAACTTCTGATCCATGTTCATAGTCTCTAGTGTAACTCCATCTTCAAGCTTCCAATTACTGAAACAGTTAATAAGCGAACCCAACATCAAGTTCACCATTCTCACTGCCAATGGCATACCAGGACACATTCTCCTCCCACCACCAAACGGAATAAGCTCAAAATTCTTGCCGGTAAAATCAATTTCCGATCCCAAAAACCTCTCTGGCACGAACGAGTCTGGGTTGTCCCAAATGCCAGGGTCTCTTCCTATGGCCCATGCATTGACAAACACTTGTGCACCTTTTGGTACAACGTACCCGCAGATCTCAACATCTATTTCGGCTTTTCGGGGAATTAGTAAGGGTGCTGCTGGGTATAGACGGAAGGTCTCCTTGATTATTGCTTGTAAGTAAGGGAGTTGACCAATGTCGGATTCCTCAACCAGTTTTCCTTTTCCGATGGTCTGCTTCAGCTCCGCTTGGGCTTTGAACAATTTTTCTGGGTTGCGGAGTAGCTCAGCCATTGCCCATTCCAATGTGGATGACGTTGTATCTGTTGCCGCAGCAAATAGATCCTGTAATGAACGAACAAAAGTGGAAGTCACTTGTCCCACTTATACATATTGAAGAAGCACTATAAGAAAAATGCGTATGCAACAACCCTAAAAGATCACGTAATTTGTATGTAACAAAATCAAAACCGTGGCAATGTACGCACTATGATCAGCACTTAGAGATGTTCACAAGATCTCCCCTGAGCTTGATGCTATAATAAATAATAGTGTTGATGATGGACAAGTAAAAAATCAAAAACTACTTATATCAGCTCAACCTATCATATTTCTAGATGAAATTTGTGTGTTTACTAGAAAAATAATACACTAGATGATCAATTTTAGACGATACACAACGCTAATAATTACCTAGTGACAACTCGCACATAATTCTTATTTACCTCGGAGCAATTTTCAGTATGAACATATTATCAATTCAAAGAATAAGTTCACCAAGATCAAGAACAACGAAGCTAGCAGAGAGTAGACAACTAACCAGGAACAGATGTTGAGTTTCATCCATGTCCATATCCTCATTTTTCTTTTCACTAAGGTTTATCAGGGTATCTAACATGTCATTAGTCATGGCATAATCAAGCTCTTTTCTTGATTCAAACCGTTGCATCATCAAGCGATCAAAGATGTCAAACATCTTCCGGTAGTAACCGGTCTGACGGCGTCGTATCCCCTGGGGATCAATCCTTTTCAGCACAGGAAAATAGTCAGCCAAGTTAGGTTTCAAAGACTCTTCAAGAATACTCCATACCAGCTCCTTGAACTCTCTCGCCCTAGCACTGTGTGGGTCCACTAAATCCACAGAGAAGATGGTACGCGATAGCAAATTGAGCGAAGTTTTGAAAGCAGCCCGTCCGATATCAACCACCTCACCTTTTACAGCGCTTTCATTGACGTCGGATATGAGCTCTTGCACTTTCAGGTGACGGTTGGCTTGGTTGGCGTCGAGAATTTTGGTGGTGAACAATTGCGAGTTACATGTTTTGCGGAGGTTTTTCCATGTAGCTGAAACCGGTATCCACGCCATGCTGTACGTGGAATGTTGACAGGCTTGGAGCGCATCTGGGACGGTTCGGTTGCAGAAGAGTTGGTCATGGGTTCGGAGGACTTCTTTGGCGACGGTTGATGAAGAAATTACCACGGTTGTTATTTGGCCGAGATGCAAAGTCATAATTGGGCCATAGCGTTGTGAAAGCTTAGTGAGAGAGAGATGGGGTTTGTTACCAAGCTCTAAGAGATTGCCAATGAAGGGAAGTGGGTTTGGTCCTGGTGGAAGCCTTGTGGTATCTAATGATCTTCTTCCAAGCGAATAATAGAGGGTGTGAATTGAGATCCATGCAACCATTAGACCTAGTAGTATGCAACTCAAGAAATCCATTTCTTCTCCCAAACTGTAAATGTTGCCACAATTGAGAGGACATAAATACATCTTTTCATTGGGGATATGTATCTATATATATGAATGGGACCAATTTACTTATCATATTTTACTTACATAATGACGTAGAATGTAAGGTTTAGATCTTAACAAGTACTACTATATCATTTGGTGAATAAATTAACTTACATAGTATTTTCAGTCAAAAATTTCACTTGCTATGTTGTTAATTTAAGGCTGGTTTGACAATACTGAAATTCTTTTATAAGTAGTTTTTAAAAAAATCGAGGCTAAAATTGTATTTGGCAAAACAACGTTTTTTTTTTCTTTTTCCATAGCATATCAACTCCAAACTAGTCCTTGAAGTGGGGTACCGTGGCTTGAAGAAAATGAAGCCAATGTGTCTGAATTCTTAACCAAAAGGACATGGAAAACACAGAGAACATGAATAATGTGTACAAAGTAAAAGGACACGAAGAACACGAAATCAAAGGTATTTTTTGCCACGAGTCCATCATGTTGAGGAGCCGGTGGCGGCTTTATATTACTAAGCCGAAAACCCACCAGGTAGCAATCAAATTCATAACGCAACAGTTCTCCATCATATTTCCTTTTTCGATTGACATTTGATTGCTGAAGCGTACAAGGGCAAAAGGAGATAAATACTGAGTTTGTAATGCTATGTTTTGATTTGTATTTAAAGTCAAATTATTGGAGTTAAATACTGAGTTTTATTTTTAAAGAACAAACTTATAAAGTGTACAATTACAAGGCACAAAGCATAAAAATTTATATTTGTAAATAGTAGTTGCCCTTGCCCTCGCACTGCCTGTGTCCGCTAAGTCCACAGAGAAGACAGTACGCGATAGAAGATTGAGCGAAGTTTTGAAAGCAGCCCTTCCGATATCAATCGCATCACCTTTTACAGCGCTTTTGTTGACGTCCCATATGAGCTCTTGCACTTTTAGGTGACGATTGGCTTGATTGGCGTCGAGAATTTTTCGGGTGAACAGTTGAGAGTTACATGTTTTGCGAAGGTTTCTCCATGCAGGTGAAACAGATATCCAAGGCATGCCATACTTGGAATGTTTACAAGCTTGGACCGCATCTGGGATGCTACGGTGGCAAAAGAGTTGGTCATGGGTTCGGAGGACTTCTTTGGCGACGGTTGACGAAGAAATTACCACGGTTGTTATTTGGCCGAGTTGTAAAGACATAATTGGGCCATAGCGTTGTGAAAGCTTGGTGAGAGAGAGATGGGGTTTATTGCCAAGCTCTAAGAGATTGCCTATGAAGGGAAGTGGGTTTGGTCCAGGTGGAAGCCTTGTGGTTTTTGATGATCTTCCAAATGAATAATAGAGGGGGCAAATTGAGATCGCTGCAACCAGTAACCCTAATAGTATGCAACTCAAAATGTCCATTTGATCGATCTCCCTCTTTGTTGAGAGAGACGATGAATCTTACGTTTAAACCGATATGAGAAGTGATAAGGCGCATGTTGGGTTCATTATTCTTGCCGTCCATTCTCAAAAGCGACACTTAGAACTACGGTCTCATGGTATTTTTCTTCACTTGTAAGTGAGAAGTTTTAGATTTGATTCTCGCCAAAGACAGATTTGAACCACATTATTACTAGTATATTGTGAGGCTAAACTCACCCCCCCTTCTTAGTGTGTAAATAATATCATTTGTTTAAATAAATAAATAAAAAGCTACTGCAACTACTCTAATTTACTTATAAAACAATTTGAAAATATATATACAGAAGTAGCCTAATTTACTTATAAAATCATGCAAAATTTCTCTTCTTATCAATATGAATTCATTCTCAACATGTCTCATCACATGTACCAACTTTTCAAACCTAACACATAGAAATAACATATGTCATGGATGGCCATTACACTTGACATTAAGTGCACCTATGAAAAAAGTTAAAATGTCACTGCAAAATCCATCGAAAGACACATAGATAATACAAACGAAATAATGTGATGTTTCCATCAATCGTTGTGGACACATGATAAAAGACATAGAAATCACGTGGATGAAAGAAACAAAAAGTCTTATCAATATAAATTTATTCTCAACACGTCTCATCACATGTACCGACATTAAGTGCACCTTGAAAAAAAGTTAAAATCTCACTGCAAAATCCATCGAAAGACACATAGATAATACAAACGAAATAATGTGATGTTTCCATCAATCGTTGTGGACACATGATAAAAGACATAGAAATCACGTGGATGAAAGAAACAAAAAGTCTTATCAATATAAATTTATTCTCATCACATGTACCGACATTAAGTGCACCTTGAAAAAAAGTTAAAATCTCACTGCAAAATCCATCGAAAGACACATAGATAATACAAACAAAATAATGTGTTGTTTCCATCAATCGTTGTGGACACATGATAAAGGACATAGAGATCACGTGGACAAAAGAAACAAAAGGCAATGGTCTAATCGGATAAATAGTCCTCGTAATAATAAGGTAATTAGAAGATAGCCCTCGTGATAAAAAAAAAAAATTAGGATTTAAATCCTCATGGTAGAGTCCGTTAGCAAATTTGGTCCAAAAAAGTTATTTTTCTGTTAATTATTCGTTAAATACAAGTACAAAAATGTACATTTATGTGTACACCTTCTTCATCATCTCTCTGCATTTCATCTATTCATATCTCACCAAGATACTGAAGCTGATTAGAATTCTTCGGCTTGAATTAGTGTAGTACTGACAGAAACCAATCAATTTCTCACTATTTCCATTTCACTACAGTAAAAAAAAAAAAAAATAATGAAACTTCACCGAGACTATTGAACTTCAAACGGAGCTGAAAAATTGTGAGCCTCTAGAAAATGGGAAACAAAATTTCATGTCAATTTCCTTCCTAATCCACAACAGTAATCTAAACTAGCTTCTGAAACTAATTGTACTTCATCAAAAATCCTAACGGCAAAAAGAATAAAACCATCAAAAGGGTTTTTTTTTTTTTTTTTTTAACCCCGCCATAACTCATTTGAAGGCAAAACGTTTCAGTGGTTATGTTAGGTTGCCGCACATCCCTCGTCTATATGTGTTTTATTGAATTTCTTCCCAAAGGTGCAGTACTCATTTTTGGTAAACAGTAAGCAGTTCCATTCTTCTTTTCCGCCATTCCAGTTATTTGCAAAATTTCTTTTGTTTCTTAAAATGTCAAGATTTTGACTTTCGTTACAACTTACATGTCAATTTACCATTGGGATGGGATGATGAATTTCTACGATTTTGCTTTCGTTGAATACTTATTCCAAGCTAGTGGGTTGTTTTTATATATTTAATTTCAGGCTGAAGAGATTGGGTTGGACTATATGAATATTGAAGGGCTAAAGAAGGGGCGAAGAAATACCATGCCTTTTTGGTTTCAGAAGTCGTTATTAAGCAGATTCTCCATCTTTGTAAAATATAAACAGATGAAACACAGGGAGAGGAAGAAGAAGGCGTGCACGTTAAAATACATTTTTATCCCTGTATTTAACAGACAAGTAACGGAAAAATCAATTTTGGACTAAATTTGCTAACGAACTTTACCACAATGCTTTAAATCCTAATTTTTTTACCACGATGGCTATCTTCCGATTTCTTTATCACCATGGGAACTGTTTATCCAATTAAGCCAAAAGCAATTGCAGAGAAGGGAAATGGATTCTCTCCAAATTCCTTTTTCCTAATTCACTAAGTTCAGGGATTCAGATTGTTGAAATTTGATCTAACGGTTAAAGTTATTATAACTTTTAGAGTGAATTTTTGTTTGTAGTTGTTAGATCAAATTTTAACGGTCCAAATTTTTTAATTTAGTGAATTAGGAAGAAAGGATTCTGAGATAATCTCTTAAAAAGAAAGAGTTGTGGACAAATGGAAAAAGACATGGAGATGACGTTGACAAAAGTGAGACAGCAATTGCAGACAAGGAATTGTGTGGACGCTCGTGGCTAATCCAAGAACCCATCAAATCTCCAATTTTCAATTTCAATTTTTTGATTTCTGCCATGTCCGTGAAACTAGCAAGATACCTTTTTATGACAGAAAAAAAAATTAAATTCCAACTTTGACCTCTTTCACTTTATTTTCAGTGTCCGAGCAAAAAAAAAAAATATATATATATATATATATATTTTTTTATTGTGAAATTAGAGACTTCTATTTGCAAAAAAAAAAATAACAAAAATAGAGACTTCTATATTTTTTGTATAGGCCTGAAGAAGTTATATTTTTATGTCTTTAAAGAACAGAACAAAAAATTCTGACATGTTACTCAAAATGCTGCACAGCATAGATACAGACTATTCAATACATTCCAAGTCATAAAAAGAGAATCAACATCTAATAATTAAAAACAAATCATGAAAGCCAATGCATCATTCTCTACACACATGACCGAAGGAAATATCAACACATCGTAGACAATTATTTATACACTTCACCTTATCCCGGATGCTTTTTTTATTATTGAAGACACCGCATTTTCATGCTTAATAGACCTCTGAAGTTTTCAGTACAAAATGAATCAAATTATTGTCAAATAAACTAGTTATTGCATTCGATTCTTTTAAAATTATTAAACAACTATACCTGTTATTGTTGACAGCAAGATTGAAGAGAGCCATGGCTCCACTTTCCTGAGCCAAACAACCCGCTTCACGCAAAGCTGAGCTCAGAAAATGTAGAAGTGCTTCAACAAATCCATTAGCACCCATATACATCCTGGCCTCCTCATCCTCCTTCAGCAAGAGCCTTATTTGCTCCACTACCTCGCACCTCTTCCTGAAGTCTTCCTCTTCATTCAAGGTGGTTAAAAGATCCTGATAACTTTCGAAAACATCAAGCTCAGACTCTTCCTCTAATGGAGACACATCTTCTGTTTCATTTCCAACGTCCCCCTTTATAGTATGGCTCTCCTCTAAAGGAACCACCTTGACACCCTTCACCTTGCAAGAGCCAACACTACCCATAGATTTTGAATCAGTGGACTCCGACTCAAATGCAAGCCTCCAATAGTTGAGGTCAAGAGACTCTGGGGGACCATCAGGAACACAAATTCTATTCTGTTCACACCAACTAGCAATTAAAAGAACCCTGAATAGTGGGAGAACAAGGAGCAGAACCTTGTGAATCATTGCCACCGGGCCCAGCATCCTCAATGGAACCCTGAATAGTGGGAGAACAAGGAGCAGAGCCTTGTGAATCATTGTCATCTGAGATTTCACTTCTGAACAGCTTGGAGTATTTTCGCGTAAGATGTAATAAATAAGCCACAATTGATTCTTTCCGCTTATCTTCCTCAGCACGGGCTCGCTGGATGACTTTCTTTAAAGCTCTTCTCTCAGTAAGAGCTGCCCTGGAAGAGGTAATACCAAGTTTGATAGCAGCCTGATGAAACGATTCCAGCTCATTATTGTCATTACAATTGTCGAACTTTTTCCCTTGCTAGAGTAGTGCAATTATTTCATCGCCAACTTTCTTCTCTAAGGGATCAAGTGAGAGCACAGTACCCTCAAGTTCACTAACAATCTCTTCAATCTGAAACAAGATCAACAATATACTGTGTTTAGAACACATCTAAGTGATGTACACAAAGCATCATGACCACGGAATGCTAGCATCACAAGTTAATTCAAAAACTTCAAATGCAATTACCACCAACCAGGAAAAGAAACTGCAAAAGAGCCTTAAAGAATAATTACCTGACAACCAGTAGATTGTGGAACAATGTCTTCAACACGCCTAAGACTATCCATGAGAGCACATCTTGCCTTCTCAACAACATTTGTTATAAGGAAAACTAATGAAAAAGGGCTTGAAAACTTTGAGTTTTAACGAAAATGACAGTAAGTGAATAGTATCATAATTGACTTTTTATAGTAAAAATGTGGTTTTTCGTTAAAATGAACAGTACTGGGAAAACTAATGAAAAGGGCTTGAAAACTTTGAGTTTTAACGAAAATGACAAAAATGTGCTGTAAGTGAATAGTACAAGAATTGACTTTTTCGAATAAAAATGTGGTTTTTCGTTAAAGTGAACAGTACCAAGAGTTTTTCGTTAAAACTCATTTCTATATATCCTTCAAGATATAGCTTGGGAAGTTAACTTGTTATACTATTTCTTTCATAGCCACATCAAGTAAATAAACTGATGCGATCTCTTTAGTATTTTGAAGACATTGAATAGCCATTATTGTGAACAAATGAGTGTTGCTTTGTTTTGTTATGATAAAGAGGATATATTTTAAATTATCTTTGATTTAATGAATTTAGCGTGCAATATGCAAAACTCTACCCACTGATACATTTGTTGACGAAGAACAGTTCATTGCTTGTAAGAATCGCTTTTGTGGACTAGGCTTTAAACTCTAGTTGGTGTTCTAGGGCTAGATTCTTCAGAGCAACTCCACCTCTGACAATAATTGTACGGGCTATTAAGCAATTAGTAACTACTGTCTTAGTGAATAGTGAATGCTCGAGGACATTTCCACTCCGTTGTAGGGGTTTTTAGATCCAAGTCCAATAACATAGATTGTTTTTAGGAGTAAGTTCATTTATCAAATTACATGTTTTCATTGCTTTTATACTCATTTTATATTTTCTAAAAATATTAAAAAGAACTATTTCTGAAAATGAATAAAATAAACATTATTTTTGAAAGGAAACAAATCAAATAAACATTATTTTTAGAACTACAACAAAATAACATAATATTTCTGAAACTAAACCAAAATTACACTCATTATTTCGAGAACTACTGCAAAGTGACGCAAACATTTTTGGAATTACTACAAAATGACCTACATCATTTTTGGAACTACAGCAAAATAACTCACATTACTTCTGAAAGAGCACAAACTAAACTCTATTTCTGAAATTACAGCAAAACAACCAACAATATTTCTAAAACTGAACCAAAATAACCCACACTATTTACAGAACTACAATAATGATCGTACCAGCATTCAATTTAAGATATAAACACGGTTCAGTTTAAAAAATAGGCACGGTTCGATTCTAGAAATAATCATTTAGCATGTGTACTTTAAAGATGAATAATTATAGTGCCATAACGCATCATAATTTCGGGTTCTTTCAGAATTTGTATCACGATCATATAGGAAGAGCCAGTTATATTCTTTCTAATCTAAAATGGAAGTTTTATAAAACATACTTCCGCATCTTCTTGATTATCACCTGTAAAGAGAAAGTTGAATGGGGGCAAAATTGACTGGAGAAAATTGATGGGAATTGGATTTTGGAAAGTGCTAGGGCTACTTGGGAACTGGAACGTGGAATAGTTCTATTAGGTAAAAAATATATGTATTTTTTTTGCTTTGTATGTGGGTTTGTTTCCTATTCATGAGGTTTTAGTTTTTTTATGTACTATATTTTATCATTTTCATTAAATTTTAAGTTTTTTTTAATAAACAATATTATTTACATTAAGAAAAAAAAATGATACGTTTAGCATCATAATAGGCTAGCAATAATGTGGTTCAAATTCGCCTTTGGCGAGAATCGAACCTAAGGCCTCTCACTTGCAAGTGAAGAGGAATATCATTAAACCGTTGTACTATGTGGCTAAATTTCAAGTCTTTTACATTAAATAAAATTATTAAATGAATTTTGATTAAAATAAACTTAGTCCAAACTATTTCCATTAAAAATCTTCCATTAATATAATCACAACAATTTTACATAAAAGTTTACCAAACATTCCATACTGTTTTTGTTGTTAAAAACACTTTTACAAAAAAAAAATAATAATAATAATAATCAAATACTAAACTGCTTTATTTATAAGTGTTTATTCTCATAACACAACATAAGGTTTTTTTTTAAACTAAGTAATAACAAGCTAGCTCTTAAATTCTAGTCAGAGCTCTAGGCCTAGACTCGGCGCACCTAGTCCTATATACTCTAAATATTATATGCTAGAAACTTGAAGTAATTATATCGAGCATGGGTTCTTCTATAACATGGGCACAGCTCTGAGGGGCTGAGCTTTTTGTAAGGTGATGCCAAACTTCTCATGCATGTCCATGGTCTCCGGTGCAATTCCGTCTTCAAGCTTCCAGTTGTCAAAGTAGTTAATAAGTGAATCCAACATTAAGTTCACCATTCTCACTGCCAATGGCAAGCCAGGATATATTCTTCTCCCACCACCAAACGGAATAAGCTCAAAGTTCTTGCCAGTAACATCAATTTCCGATCCCAAAAACCTATCTGGGATGAATGAGTCAGGGTTGTCCCAAATGTCGGGGTCTCTGCCGATGGCCCATGCATTGACAAACACTTGTGCACCCTTTGGTACAGTGTACCCGCAGATTTCTACGTCTGCATCGGCTTCTCGGGGAAGTAGTAAGGGCACTGCTGGGTGCAACCGGAAGGTCTCTTTGAGTATTGCTTGTAAATAAGGGAGTTTAGCTGTGTCGGATTCCCCAACCGGTTTTCCTTTTCCGATGATCTGCTTCAGCTCCGCTTGAGCTTTGGACAATTTTTCCGGGTTGCGGAGTAGCTCAGCCATTGCCTATTCCAATGTGGATGACGTTGTATCTGTTCCCGCAGCAAATAGAACCTGTAATGAACCCACACAGGAGACCCTAGTCATCGATATAACCTCTAAGCAAGCAGTAAGTATATACGCAAGCTATTCGAGATTAATCGAGAGCAACAAAATTAGAGAGTAAATATATAGTAGCAACTAACCAGGAACAGAAGTTGAGTTTCATCCATGTCCATATTCTCATTTTTCTCTTCACTAATGTTTATTAAGGTATCTAACATATCATTACTCATGATATAATCAAGCTTTTTCCTTGATTCAAACCGCTGAATCATCAATCGGTCAAAGAGGTCAAACATCTTCCGCATTGCTATTGCTCATACGGCGTCGTATCCCTAGTGGATCAATCTTCTTAAGCACGGGAAAATAGTCAGCCGAGTTTGGTTTGCCAGCCTCTTCCATAATACTCCACACTAACTCCTTTAACTCCCTCGCCCTCGCACTGCCTGTGTCCGCTAAGTCCACAGAGAAGACAGTACGCGATAGAAGATTGAGCGAAGTTTTGAAAGCAGCCCTTCCGATATCAATCGCATCACCTTTTACAGCGCTTTTGTTGACGTCCCATATGAGCTCTTGCACTTTTAGGTGACGATTGGCTTGATTGGCGTCGAGAATTTTTCGGGTGAACAGTTGAGAGTTACATGTTTTGCGAAGGTTTCTCCATGCAGGTGAAACAGGTATCCAAGGCATACCGTACTTGGAATGTTTACAAGCTTGGACCGCATCTGGGATGCTACGGTGGCAAAAGAGTTGGTCATGGGTTCGGAGGACTTCTTTGGCGACGGTTGACGAAGAAATTACCACGGCTGTTATTTGGCCGAGTTGTAAAGACATAAATGGGCCATAGCGTTGTGAAAGCTTGGTGAGAAAGAGATGGGGTCTATTGCCAAGCTCTAAGAGATTGCCTATGAAGGGAAGTGGATTTGGTCCAGGTGGAAACCTTGTGGTATTTGATGATCTTCTTCCGAGTGAATAATAGAGGGGGCAAATTGAGATCGCTGCAACCAGTAACCCTAATAGTATGCAACTCAAAATGTCCATTTGATCTCTCTCTCTCTCTCTCTCTCTCTCTCTCTTTGTTGAGAGACGATGAATCCTACGTTTAAATCGATACGACAAGTGATAAGGCGCATGTGGCTGGCCTTCATTATTCTTGCCGTCCATTCTTAAAAATGTCACCTAGTACTACAGTTTTATGGTATTTCTCTTCACTTGTAAGTGATAAGTCTTAGGTTCGATTCTCGTAAAAGACAAATTTGAACCACATTATTGTTAGTTTATTGTGAGGTTAAACTCACTCCCTTCCTTAGTGTGTAAATAATATCATTTGTTTAAATAAAAAAAAGCTGCTGCAACTGCTCTAATTTACTTAAAAAACCATTTGAAAATATATATACAGAAGTAGCTTAATTTACTTATAAACTCATGCAAAATCTTTCTTCTTATCAATGTGAATTCATTCTTAACAAGTCTTATCACATGTGCCGAATTTTTAAATCCAACACACAGAAATAACATATGTCGCTGATGGCCATTATGCTTCACATTAGGTGCACCAACTTTGATGCTATGAATCTCACTACAAAATCCATCGAAAGACACATAGATAACACAAACAAAATAATATGTTGTTTCCATCAATCATTGTGGACACATGATAAAGGACAGAGATCACAGGGACGAAAATGACAAAAAACAATTGCAGAGAAGGGAAAAGAATTTTCTCCGGATCTCTTCCTTTTAATTCATCAAGTCCGAAGGTCCGAATCATTGAAATTTGATCCAACGATTAAAAGTATTATAACTTTTAGAGTGAGCCCTTGTTTGTAGTTGAATCAAATTTTAATAGTTCGAATCCTCAGATTTGATGAATTAGAAGGAAGAAATCCAAAAAAGATCTCTTTTAGCCATGTTGGTGAAACTAGCAAGATACTCTTTTATGACAGAAATAGAAAGTAAATTCCAACTTTGACCTCTTTCACTTTATTTTTAGTGTCCGAGGAAAAAAAAATTTATTTTTACTGTGAAATTAGAGACTTCTATTTGTAAAAAGAATAACAAAAATAGAGACTTCTATTTTGTACAGGCCCGAAGAAGTCATATTTTTATGTCTTTAAAGAACAAATGAAATGTCTTACTAAAAAAGAACAAGTGTTAAAAAGAAACTCAAATGAGACGAGAAGAAAGATATTTTAATTTTCTCACACTATAATTCAATATTTTCACATTATTACAGCATTCGATTAATTTACATCTTTTGTT